TTTCAACATGTGGATGGTTGAATCCATGGATAAGGAATCCATAGATATGGAGGGCCAACCGTAAATGTTGAAGAGTTCCTCCTTTTTTATGAGTGTTCATTAGCATTATTCATCTTCTCCATATTGCAAAACTACCACTTTCTTTTTCTTTCTATTGCTTCGAACATTGGTAAGAAACCCTTTTTTTAATTGTTATAATATCTCTAGTGAGGCTGAGCTCATTCTCAGTTTTAATCATTTTGATCTTCACCGTGGGCCAGCATGATGTAGTGCTTTGAGTGTTGGACTATAACTCTGAAGACGAGGGTTCAATTCCCTGCTCAGCCATGGAAATCTACTTTGTGACCTGGGGCAAGTTGCACACTGTCAGCCTCAGAAAACCTCTGATCATCAAGAGTTGGAAACGACTTAAGGGCCCTCAACAATAAAATCTTCATCCTATAAATACCACTTATTTGTTGTACTCTTCCTTGCTGATTTCTTCCTTCTTCCATTTCTTACACATGTCCTTTTTAAATCTCAGCTCCTTATACAGCCACCTTGGGACTGTTTTCCTTCCATAGCTTACATTTAGGAAAGTCACACCCCACAATGAACTCTTTTCACTTTGAGTATTCCTGACTATGGGAAATCACCTTAAGCTTATTAAATGTGCTTTATTTCGGCAGAATCCTGTTGGTCTGCACATCCACACACAATTGGAGAAAAAAGGCCAAGGATACAGTAACAGAGAAGGATGTAAATACTGGAGAAACAGGTTGCTTGTAGCCAGCAGAATTTGTTTGCCTCAACAACTGAACACTCTTTCACTTTGAGTCCAGTTGTGTTATTAGCCACAGCACTACTAGTACTTGTCCCCTCCTCTTCCCACGTAGCTCATTGAGTGCCTTCTGACCTGGCAGACTCGTCTTCTGACGCTATCTCCTGTTTCATTTTGGACTGTCTCATCATAGGGTTTTCAAAATAAAAGACATTCAAAAGTGGTTTACTAGTGCCTCCTTCTGTGCAGTACTAACTATAGTACCACTGCTGTTATCTCTTAGAGCAACTACTGCTGCTGCCCTGTTTGACACATTTAAAGGGCCTTTACAGACTGCCAGAAATAATACAAATTGAGTCCACTTTAACTGTCCTGGCTCAGTGCTAGGGAATTATGGAAATGTAGTTTATTGTGGCACCAGAGCTCTCTGACAGAGAAGACTCAATGTCTCAGAAAAAAACTACAATTCCCATGATTCCCTAGCACTGACCCAGGGCAGTTTAAGTGGACTCAAGTTGCATTATTTCTGGCAGTCTGTAAAGGCCCTAAGTCTGGCTCCTCAGCAAAAGTCTGTCTGACATGTGAAACCCTACCAACAACATTGCCTCTTGCCTCACAGAAACACCCAGTCCCATCACAACAGAAAGGTAGTGCCATGGTGGGTGTTTGACTAAACCCAGCTTTCCCTTTCCTATGTACAACAAATCCCAAGAGGATTTGGGGGCTCTACAAATAGCCCCTAAGGGGCAACTCCATGCCGCCCCTTGCGGCGCTAGATTGGGGCTGCGGCAACCACATGCCACAGCCCCAATCCGGCTCTTTGCCGCTCCAAAAAGATCTGGCAAATGCCGCTCCTTTTTGGAGTGGCAAAAAGCCATCCTTACCGCTGCCACAGCTCTTCTGCACTCCTTTGGCACAGTATGTCTACACACTGTGCCAAGGGAGCACCCTGACACCACACACTGTGCTGTGGGGTGTGCGGCTTGACAGCGGCATTGGGGCGGAGTCGGGGCAGCCGGCATGCGGTCACCCTACCCCAACTTTACCTCTAGGCCAGCCCTTTTGGCTGGTCTGTACAGGCCCATGGTTAATTCTATCCAAAGTTGTTGCAACTTCCACCTTGATTACCAGTTCTTCCCTGTCAGGGATGATCAGGCTATCTGCTTCCACTTTGTGGAAAATGAAACTGTAGCAAATCAAGTGAGGAATTTGTTGGACTTTACATACTTTGCAGAGTTTGCTTTCTTACAGATACCAGAGTAATTGAAGTCTCTCAATATTACCATATGATATCTTTCCTTCTTAATGTGTGATAATCTGATGTAAGGCATCATCCAATTTATAGTTCTGTTTTAGAGGTCTGTGGCAGATTCTCTGTATATTGTCTCTGCTTTTCATTCTCTCTGAAGCTGTCTTCCATGCTTCAATTCATAGATCTCCTTGCATATGTACATGTATAATAGTACTCTTCATCCTGTTTAGTCTATTCTTTTGAATATGCTATACCCTTGAATCACTATATTCTGGTCTTATTCCATCAGCTTTCAGTAATTATTATTAAATGATATTGGCCTTCCTGTGGTAATGTTTCAAGTTTATCTTATTTAAATCCTGTGTGTCCGTGTGTTGTTTGCCTTCAAGTCATTTCTGACTTATGGCAACCCTAAGACAAATCTATCACGGGGGGGGGGGGTTGGCAAGATTCTTCAGAAGGTGTTTACCATTGCCATCCTCTGGGGCTGAAAGACTGTTACTTGCCCAGGTCACATAGGGGATTTTCATGGTTGAGCAGGGATTCAAACCCTGCTCTCTAGAGTCATAGTCTGGCACTCAAACCACTACACCACATTTGCTCTCATATAAATCCCATGTCATTGCATTAATATAGAAATATCCTGACATCCTGTTAGGTCTGCACACTATTGTGTGCGAGTATTGCCAAAAACCCTCTATAGAAATGTCCAGGTTTGTCAAAGCCTCTAACTGCTGTCCTGTACCTTCAGGCCAGAATCATTGTCTAAGATTTGGTTGCTGTGTAGCTCTAAAGATACAGCATGGTTTGAGATAGTCATTCTTCTGTATGTCACATTCTTCTAAGACTTTTGTACTTTTCCTCCTCATTAGACACATGCACTGTCCATCACCCTTCTTGGGGAGTATGCTCTGCTTTGCTCTGCTCTGTCCAAAAACTCTTGATCTTCCCTGATGAGTCAAAGTTTGGATAAGTGGGCCTGAAGCTTCTCCACGTTATCTTCCAACAGAGCAACTAGCCTGCACTTGTAAGGTATAGTTTCTGACAACCTCAGGTAGGAAAACAAATATTGTACAGATGTTGCAGGTCAATGCAGCAAGCAGTTCCCTCAGTGCCCATGTGTCTTCATTCTACATAGGTAATGAGATAGTCCTTACAGCCTCCTTCGCAAACTTGCCCACTAAATATCCATACAAATTCAAAAATGTATTTCCAGAAAGGAGAGTGATGTTGAGCTTGTTAGATGTGCCAGTTATAAGAAAATTGTAAATTCCCCAGTGCATGTGAACTGAGAACTGTTAGACTCACACTCTTAAATACTTTGCTATATTATGTTATGTGACTTGCTTCCAATCAAAGCTGCCATCCGTGCTTACCAGGGTCACTGGGGATTACTTAGTTTCATGCTCTTATCTGAGCTCAGATGTGTCCCTTTGTAACCTAGCAAGCATAACAAGTATAAAAGAAAATAGATTTAATATTTTAATGGAAACAAATCTGTGTCTCTCCCCTACTTGACCTGGGACACCTGGGATCTTTTCCCTATTACATTAGCTGACTTTGATGAAGATAAACAAATTAATTGTGTGTGACAAATGGGATATATGAATATAAATATGGATATGGAAAGTACACCACTGGATCATGGCTCATGTCATGAATTTCCTGGCTGTTTTAGACTATTGCACTATGATACATTGAAAATAAAGTATCTATCAGTCTAATGTAGATCCTTGCAACTTCATCAGAACCAGTTAGTGCAGTAGGTGAAGAAGCAATCATTTTATGTCCTAAAAAGTACATCCCATTGCATTGATCAATAACATCAGTATATTCAACACCACCTTTTATGTATGCTTCATCACTGGAATGAAAATATGCAAAACATATGAGGAAGCAATAATTACTTTTTAGCACATTTTTGTACCAGTCATTTTGATATAGTATGACTACGGAGGATCTATATAAATTCAATCTAGACAATGAGGAAATCAATGTAATCAAGGATTTTCTGCGCTTTGCATCAAACATTGATTAAAACAGAGATTGCAGTCAAGAAATAAAAAGAAAACTAGGAACGGGAAAGGCAGCAATGAAAGAATTAGATAAGATCCTAAAGAGTAAAGATATACAACTGAGCACTAATGTTAGAATTGTTCAAGTCATTGTATTTCCCATCACCATATACAGAACTGGACAGTGAAGTGGATAAAAATAAAATTTATTTATTTATTTATTTGATTTATATCCTGCCTTTCTCCCTGGAAGGGACCCAAGGAGGCTCACGAATAAAATTCTAAAAAACATATTACAATAAAGCAGTTAAAATCTCATTTTAAAATGATATAAAATTACAAACATTAAAACCACACTAAAACCATGATACCCATCCTATATAACAAATAGCCAAGCCACCTCATGATTATACATTAAAAGCCTGCTTTAATAAAGCCATTTTTGCAAGCAAGCGTGCACACCAGCCCCCAGCACCATTCCCCCCCCCTCCCGGCCCATCCGCAAAAAAGGTTGCTGACCCCTGATCTAGACCTAAACCATATAGGGCTTTATAAGTCATAACCAGCATTTAGAATTGTGCCCGGAAACAAATTGGTAGCCAGTGAAGCTGTTTTAACAAGGAAGTTATGTGGTTTGTATAACTGGCCCCAGTCAGCACTCTGGCTGCAGCTTTTGCACACACTGAACTTTCCGAATGGTTTCCAAAGGCAGCCCCACGTAGAGTGTGTTGCAGTAGTCCAAACAGGATGTAATCAAGACATGTGTCACTGTAGCCAGAGCTGATGTCTCAAAGAATGGGCACAGATGGCATGCAAGTTTTAACTCTGCAAATGCACTCCTGGCCACTGCTGAAACCTGGGCATCCAGGCTCAGAGTTAAGTCCAGTAGCACACCTAAACTGCGAGCCTGAGATTTCAGAGGGAGTGTAATACCATCCAGCACAGGCAACATCCCTATTCCCTGATTTGCCTTCCAATTGACCAAGAGCACCTCTGTCTTGTTTGGATTAGGTTTCAATTTGTTTGCCCTTATCCAGTCCATTACTGACTGTAGACATTGGTTCAGTACCGAAATAGCTTCCTTGGAATCAGATGGAAAAGAGAGATAGCGTTGGGTGTCATGCGCATATTGGTGACACCTCACCCCAAAACTCCAGATGACCTCTCCCAGTAGTTTCATGTAGATGTTGAATAACATGGGGGACAAAATAGAACCCTGTGGGACTCTATAAGCCAGCAGCCAAGGAGTTGAACAAGAGTCCCCAACACCACCTTCTGAGTTTGCCCCTCCAAGAAAGACCAGAACCACTGCATAACAGTGCCCCCAAGTCCCACCCCAGAAAGGTGGCCCAAAAGGATACCATGGTTGATGGTATCGAAAGCCACTAAGAGATCCAGCAGGACCAACAGGGACACACTCCCCTTGTTCAGCTCCCTGCATAGGTCATCCACCAAGGCGACCAAAGCTGTTTCTGTCCCATAGCCAGGTCTGAAGCCAGATTGAAATGGATCTAGATCTGTTTCATCCAGAAACCCCTGGACTTTGCACCACCACTCACTCCAGAACCTTGCCCAAGGATGGAATATTAGAGACTGGCCGATAGTTATCAGGATGGCAGGATCCAGAGAGGTCTTTTTCAGTGGTGACCTCACCACAGCCTCCTTATGCAGGATGGAAATCTGTCTTGCTGCAATGAAGCATTCACTACTCCCCTTACCCACTTGTCCAGTCCCCCTCTCATCAGCTCATTTAAGATGTGGTGCTGGAAAAGAGTGCTGAGGATATCGGGGACAGCCAAAAGACAAACAAATTGGTCCTAGAACACTGGAAGCCAAGATGATTAAATTGTCATACTTTAGCCACATCAGGAGAAGGTATGACTAATGCTAGGAAGGGTAGAAGGTAGTAGAAAGAGAGGAAGACTGCATGCCAGATGGATGGACTCAATCAGAATTTGTAGGACCTAAGCAGAGCAGTGGCGGACAGGGGCTTGAAGAGGTCTCATCCATAGGGCCGCCATGAGCTGGGGTTAACTTAAGGGCAGTTAACAACACCAACAACTCTGTCCAGAACTGGATCATTCTATTACTATTATCAATTTTAATCTATCTTGAGTGCTGCAAAGTCTGCAGCATTAATCCAATGTTCAGTTGAGTCTAACAGGGCCAAAACAATGCTGAAAATAGGTAAGTGTTGAATAGAGTAAAATAATTAGAGTTTTTTTTAAACAAAAGTTATTTAATTTTTAAAAGAGTTTTTAAAATACCGTTGAATCATAGATGGGATGCAGAATGCAGTGGCTTAGTGGTTAAGACGCCAATTCTGATGATCAGAAGATCAGAAGGTTGGCAGTTCAAGGTCCGAGTGCTGCATGATGGGGCAAGCTCCCATCACTAGTCCCAACTTCTGCCAGCCTAGAAGTTCGAAAGCATGCAAATACAAGTAGATAAATAGGTATCACTTTGTGGGAAGGTAACAGCATTCGGTGCAGTTATGCTGGCCACATGACCACCGTAGTAGTCTTTGGACAATGCTAGCTCTTTGGCTTAGTAATAGAGATGAGCACTGCCCCCTGCAGTCAGGTATGACTAGACATTCATGTCAAGGGACTAAAAGGTAATGGTAAAGGTATTCCCTGTTGACAAGGTTATTGAGTCATGTCTGACCATAGGTTGTAGTGCTCATCTGTATTACTAAGCCGAAGAGCGTTGTCAGAGACTACTCTATGATCATGTGGCAAACATGATTGTACATAATGCTGTTTACCTTCCTACTGAAGTAGTACCTATTTATCTACTTGAATATTATTATTATTATTATTATTATTATTATTATTATTAT